TTGACAGCAGAGATTTTAAAACAATGACAGTGATTACTCATTCGATAGTCACATAACAGCACAGAGCACGTGGAAACAGCCATCAACTAATCCAATTAAATCTGTGGGTAAGGCTGTCAGCATGAAAAGCAGTGCTAAAGAGGCAGAGAGACAGAGAAGAAAGCCAAAATTGAGAGCAGGTGCCAAGTGTAGACTGAAATTACTCTTTATATAGATTTAGTCACGTGTCTAGATTATTTTTTTCCTCTCTCCTGAGTTTGCTCTTTGAGAATAACCAAGCAAGTTGTCAAATGTTAAAAAAAAAAACAAAAACAAAAACACATTACTCTGGGGGTTTGTTACTTCTACAGAGACCAAGGAGGGTGACATGACAACAAAACATGATGATGAAGCACCTCAAATTCACTCCATGTAGAAACAGTGTGATCATTGCTGGGAAGAAGGTGAGGAGTGAGTTATGGGATAGAACATGGAAATGAAATGGCTTTACAGAGTGAACTTGGCAGCAATGCAAAATATCTGCTGAACTCACCCCAAATGTTTAGACTGTCCTGGAGTCAGGTTGCACACTCTGAACCTCAAATATCTTAATGACCCCTACGAGGAACAGTCTGGGGATACACTGGGGCTTTTTAGCCCAAACGTGGTCCCTTCTAAGGCAAAGCAAACTCTACTATAAACAAGTTCATAAAAGCTTGAAAGCAGCTGTAAACCAGTGCTGGTTCAAATCTAACAAGCAAGAAACATCAAAATGAAATTCCCTTTTGCTGTTTCATCTGTACAGCCTTCCATGTGAGCACCTGGAAACAGGAATGAGCCAAGCCACCCAGTGTGCCCTGGAAAGACCTGTTTTTATCCACAATGCCAAGATGATCTGATTAGAGTCCTTCAGAACTTTAATCAGAGCTGAACTCTCTCTTCTGATGTCACACAGCAAGTGTAGGGCAGACATAGGATCCTGTGTGTCACGTCCTGCCCCTGAGGCTGAATCCCTTCATCACAACAGCACTTTTTCCCCACCCAACACTCGACTTCCTAAAACAACACCAAGTTCCCATGGAATATCAAGATGCCAGCTGGAGTGAAAGCACAGCTCTTAGCACTAAACCAGTGCTGTATCTTGTGTTGAATCCCCAGTAATCCTGCTCTGGAACCACGGACACTGTCCAGGCTGGATGTGGACGGGGAATTCCCACAACTCCCTCTGGAGCTTTTTCTTTGCATCCCTTGATACCTCCATTAGTTTAGGGCAGGGACAGGCCATTAAGCAGCCCAGGCACTCACATACCTTTCACTGAAAGCTGAAAGAGCATTTTATCCCCTTCACAGGTGCACTCATAAACTCCAGCATCCTCTTCACAAGTGCTGAGGATTTTCAGGATGTGCCTCTTCCCCGCAGTCTGAAGCTCATATTTTTCACTGGCCTTGAGCTCCTTCCCATCTTTCAACCACTTCACTGTGGCCTCTGCATCTGAAAGCTCAGCCTGGAGTTTGGCTTCCTCCCTCAGTCGAGCAGAGACCTTTTCTACCTCTTTGCTCTTGTTGGTAAATCTCACTGCGGCACCTGCCAGGGCACAAGTTGTTATTTCAGCTTATATCGAGGTAATTTTTCCCTGCTATGAGTTTCCTTAGACTGTGAGATCTCTAAAAGTATTAAATCCTGATCCTGCCCTCCCACTCATGTCAATGCTGAGCGTTTTTTTCCAGTTCAGAGGACTTGACGTGTTTTTATTAACTGAACCAGTAAGAAATAAAAACCCAAACCATGTTTTTCTACTGATTAATAATACTCCCAACATGCTTCTGCAGAGATTTTTCACCCAAAGCCAAACACATCCTTCCAGAATCAATGTCTATTCATCATGTTTTGCCAGGCAATGTGGGTAGATACAGTCGTTACTGTCATTTCATAAAGGAAGCACCCAACTCTGGTTCTTAAATGATTTACACAATATTAAGTTGTGCATCCCATACACAGTGAACTAAAAGACCTCCAAGAAAAAGCTTTGTTAGTAATTAATGCTCCTTTGCTTTTGAAAGGCTACTATTCAGAAAGTCCAGGTGAATCTGGAGCTGACATATCTACTTTAAGGTGACTCAGTGGTAGATTTGGTGACAGAATCCACTGATTGATGGTTGTGAACAACAGAAATCTGTGAGCAGTCTAGTCCTGATACCACCAGCTGGCTAGATGGACTCACTCTGAACTCTGAATTAGGATGGTGATGTCATTCCCAGCACCCACATTAGTTCACATGATGAAATTTCAGGTATTTCCCACAGCCCCAGTTCTAATCATCGGGTCACAGCAACAGCCCCATGCCTGGAAGAACAAAGGAAAACAAACACCTTTCACTCTCATCTTGGTGCTGGTCTCAACATCACTGGCAACAAATTTCACTTCTGCTCCATCATCCTTCTTGGTGACGTTCTTTATGGTGAGGGTGTGAGTGGTTTGGGTTCTCTTGATGATGCAGGTCTCACTTTCCTGTAAGACTTTACCGTTGAGGTACCAGGTGCCGGAACACGTCTTGGTGAGGTCGACAGTAAACAGGGCATCCCCTCCAGGTACAGCCTCAGTTGTTGTCAGGGGGCTTTTCACAGCCAGGACTGGTTCTAGGGAGGAACAACACCACACATCTCTGAGAACAAGACACAAGACAGCCCTGCTGGAGGACAGTTCATCCTAAGAACAAAGTTCTCAGGGTAAAAAAGACACCAGAATAAAATTATGCAGTCTTATATAGAAGGCAATTAATGCTCGGTCTGTAGGATTTGTTTCCTACAGCTTCAAGTTCTTGACCTCTGGATTAGGGTAAATGCTGTTTCTTCAGGGGGAAGAAAAGGCATATTTTGCTGATTTTTTTTATCCCCTAAGATATACAAAGGCATAAGCCTGAAACACCCGGGTTTCCCTATAAGGGTGTTATTAATTTAATAACCAGCACAATTCTTAGATTTCAGAAGGATCCTGAGGAATCACTCCTAGATATTCCTACTAGTCACTTGTAGATATTCTAGGAATATCTACATTCTAGGAATGTCTAGGAATATCTACAATTCTAGGCATTTTCAGCCAGCAAGGGAGGGAAAGGGTGACACAATAACAAGACACAGCATAATCAAGGTCTTCCAAATCTTGTCTAGTGTAGTGAATCAAAGGAAGAAACACACTGGCACCCTAGAAATAAAGTAAACCCCCAACACTTCTCCCAGTAACTCCCAGATTTAAGAAAGACTGGCTAGAACTTGGTCTTCATGATGGTATCATCACCCATCAATATTCTCTAGGTGCAAGATGGACATCTCACACATATATTGAAAATTATATCCTAAGTCCACCTCAAGTTTTACTCTCATACCAAGCCTAGAAGAAGACTTAAAAGGTTTAGCTTTTAAAAGGAGAAGCTCTGCCTCTCACACAGCTGGGATATTGGAATATAAGCACACTCACAGCTCTTCCACAGAAACCCAACCTCCACTCAACTTTGGTGGCGGTCAGGGTTTGACATGAAGTAGGAAAACCAGCAGTGAAACGGGGAAAAAAGGTTTTTCTGTGCCACTGCTCCATCCTCAAAGTCATGGGAGACATTTTCAAGGCACCCACACATCCAATCACCCCAGACCGGGTTTTGAGCTCACCAAGGTGGATGCTCCCGGGGAATTCCAGGTAGGGGCTCTGTCCATAGGTGTTGACTGCAGACACTCTGAACTGATAATCAGCCTCTTCTGCCAAGTTGCTCACGGTGAGCTCTGGGACAGGGACGTGGGACTCGTGGCACCTCATCCAGGTGAAGCCAGTGAGTTTCTTGCGTTCCACGATGTATCCGTCGACTGGAATGGGACGGTCCATCTTGGGAGGGGACCATGCCAGGGTCACTGAGGTTTCTGTTTTATTTTTCACCACAGGGTCGGCTGGGGGTTGGGTGGGAGGTTTTTTGGGCGCTGCACCAGGAAAAAAAATAAATAAATAAAATTAGAGGAAGAAGTTTACGTCGGAGTGGAAAAGCCACTGTGCGTCGCCCAGAAAGCTCACGCTGGACTAAAAGTTACTCTTGCTTAATAAAACTCCCTAAAACGTTGATGTGAGATGGAAAAGCGAGGGAACGGACAGAAGATGCTTTTGGGGTGCATTACACATAGAGCATAGAACCATTATGGGTGGAAGACACCTCTGAACTCATCGAGTCCAACCTTTAATATACAACATTCTCACCTCCACAGAAACGTGTGGTTTCTACACAGTATTAAAATTGTCAACACAAATGATCTTCAACAAACATTTTGCAGACTTAAGTCTTCAGTGCTAGATACAGACCCGTCCTGCTGCCTATACAGCTTCTGAGGAAAGCAGACTAACACTCAGCTCTTCATTTTCACTCAGAAGATGGGTAAAACCACCACCAAAGGCTGTTCAAACCTCTTGGAATTATGGACATTTCAGATGCCTGTTACACAGGCTTGGATGTTCTCTGCAGCCTCTTCCTTGTGGGTGTTTGTTCTCTGTCCTGCTTCTGTATTTTATGTTATCCCCACTCAGAAGATCTGCTGTAACTTTGTGTTAATTACAGCTAATTGATAGTATCATTGGGGATCTCTGTTCTACTAATTTATGCAGAACCAGATTTTGAGAATTAACTTCAAAAGGAAATGACATAAAGACAATGTTCCCACTGTGAGACCCTATAATGGCAGAGATATGATTATTTTATGGCACCTGAGGCCACAAATTTCTCCCTGCAGGTATTTGCATAATGAATATTTATGTTCAGCCTTCTCATTCCTCTTGAATCCTTTGGAGAAGACTCAAGTCCCATCAGGGTTATTCACTACGTGCTGCCACTGATATCATCAGAAACTGGGAATTATCTGATACACTCTAGTTACACCTCTACTGACACGGCAAAGGATTAATTTCATTTAATTTTGGCTATTTGAAAGATGTCTGGGTTAAGTCAGCCAACCAGGCTCCAGCTGTAATCCCATGGAGAACAGCACTCTCAGGAGCAACCCATCCCAGCTCAAAGAAGGTGTGGGAGATGGGTGAAACAATCCCACACTGCACATCCTCAGCTATTCATGGTTGTGGAGGGAGCCTGTAGGACGAGCCTAAACTAAAATCTGAGCTCTGGGACAACTGATCTTCTTCCTGCCTCAGTTTACCCACCTTTAAAACGGGCATAGTAACAACACAGGACACTGAGCAAATGATATACAAACATTGCCTGTGTGTTATAAATGCTGTTTGAACAGCCAACACCAGTTTTCTCCAGTTAATTTGAAGAAGACACGAGCACAGTACACAGGATTCTCCAAGCAGATGGTCAGAGATGTTACATAAATAGACACAGAAGTGTTTTGGGGTGCACAGTTACCAGCCTGTCAGTAACTCTGGTCACAGCTAGATGTCAAAGGTCCCACTAGGGTAACATTAAGCTGAGTATTAAGCCCTGGAATGAGATCTCTTGACCTTACCATCAGAAGTGGTCATGTAATATTTTCCTCAGCAATACCTCTCTGTGGGAAGGCAGCTTCCTACCTTTTTCCTGTTCCATCAAATCAACACTTTCTCCGTAATTGAAACAGCAGTGTCTGAAATCAAACTGAACTTTGTTGTTCCCATTGAATTGGTTGGATGTCACAGCTTTCCAAACACCTTAGAAACTGTCACAAAGCCAAATGTGACACTTAGGAATTTTTTTTCTCATTTTAGTTCATTGGCATCGGAATGTGCCAGCCAAGTTTAGATAACACAGCAGTTATTAATCTTTAAATCAAAGATTCTGTTTTGCCACTGACTGATTTCAGTCAATGGCAGCGGGGAGGAAAAAAAAGCATCATTCTTCCCAAATTATTACTAGAATGGATTATTTGTTCACATGCAGACTGGAACTGCAGCAGAGCGAGAAGCCACTTGCAGATTTGTCTTAAATGAAGCAGGTTTTGCCTGGAAAATGCAGTGCCATCAAAATAAGGCTAAACAAAATTAGATAACTTCACCAAAATCTCATTTCAGACCCAATCTCAACTACATTGCCCCTGCTGCTACTGCTCTGTCAATTAAGATACAGGTTTGTGCCATGCCCTTTCCCAGGACTGCTCTTGCCCAGAGCAGCTGTGAGTTCCCCATCCCTGGAAGTGTTCAAGGCCAGGTTGGATGGGGCCCTGAGAAACCTGGTCTAGTGGAAGGTGTCCTGGCCTGCAGCTGAGGGCTGGAACTCGCTGATCCTTATGGTCCCTTCCAACCCAAACCACTCTGTGGTTCTCTGACTCTTCTCTCTGTGTTTTCATCCCTCCAAAACATCTCATAACACTCATGTTTCAGGCTGTTGGCTTTTTGTGGGCAGACACCAGACCTTCTGTTTGTCTTTGGACAACCAAATCACCACGGCGGCTCCCAAAACAACGCCGGGAGCACCTGCTCACTGGGGAAGGCACAACACCGAGGCCAAAATAAACAGGAATCTTACTGGTCACAGTGAACTGGGTGGAAGTCCTGCTTTCATCAGCCAGGAAGGCAATCTCCCCAGCATCTTCCAGCTTGCACTCTCGGATGGTCATGGTGTGCTGTTTGCCAGAGCGCGTGATGGAGATGCGGTCGCTGGGCTTCACCTCTTCCTTGTTCTTGAGCCACCGGACGTTCTGGCAGTCGTTGTCCAGCTCCACGCAGAAGGTGGCTGTGTCGTGGATGAACACTGCAGTCTTCCGTGGAAGCTTTTTAATTATGTTCCCTTCAAAATGAGAAAGCAATCCCGGTCAGCAAACGGCAGGTATTAAAGATTTTGGCAACGCTGGCCCACCCCGACTGTGACAGGACGAGTCCACACCTAATCAAAACATTATAGACACTGTGCAGACACCCCTAAATGAATTCCCAGGCTCTGAGGGTGCAGAACAGATAACCCCAAGGGCTCATTTTGGCCTTCAAAGAGAGAAAAACAATCCTGTTTGACTGCAGTCACTCATGTTTCTCATCTACCACACAGTCTGCTGTGGGTAAACACAAGGTATACGTGGCCTTGCCAAGAGCAGATTTGACAGTGATACAGCTTTCAATGCCCAGATATGCTGGGAATTCAAATCAAAACTTTGCTAAAGTAGGTCAGTCTTAAGCCAGACAGGTCTCTTGCCTATCTCTGGGATTTTACCTCCTTCAAAAGTTACCAGTAACTTACATAACTAAGATGACAAATGCGTCAGTCACCTGAATTCACAGGAAATACACAAAAACCCCTCAGAGTTCTTCTTAGAATCAACCCAGAAATTCACGTGGAATGAACTGCACTTATTTGTGTCCTTTCCAAACGACTGTGATTATTCCCACATAATAGAATAACCTCAGAGTTACAAGATGTGACTATTCACAGGAAAGATTGGACAAAGCCTCAGGAGCCAACCCCAGCTGACAGATGGTGACAGGCTCCAGCTCCAGACCAGTCTTTGCAAGGTGAAAGAGCCCTCACCCAGAGCTGTTTAATGAGAAGCAGTGCTGAACTCCCTCATGAAGCAACAGGTCAGGCACAGGTTTCATCATTCTCTGCTCATCCTCCTCCTTGGCCCCACTGCCCTCAGCAGTGTCCCCATGCCCTGCAGCCCTTTACATCCAGCCATGTGCTCTCACATCCTCCCAAACCCATCTTTCTCTCTCCAAGCTTCTCCTCCCAGGGCAGGCACAAGGCTCCCCCAGGAAGGCTTTGCCTCCTTTCTCTCCAGGGAGCTCCACCTGGCTCAGTCACTCTCTCTTTAATGGAACATACCATTACAGCACAAACAAGTAAAGAAATACCAGCTGTCCCACTGGGGCCAAACGCACTAACAGAGCTTGGCTGGTCTAGACCTAATGGAAGGTGCAACAATTAGTGCCTGTCTGAGCTATCCCACGTCTCCAGACTAAATTCTTCCTCCTGCATCCACCTGTGGGCACTCTCAGCCTTTTGCTGATGATGCAAAAAGGAATTTGCACAAGGAATACATCACCCAGCTTGTCTTGCAGCAATTTGTGTACAGAAGAAACCCCTCTGGCTTTACTGGGAGTAAGGTCAGGCTTTCAGTGAGTGAGGACAAGAGCAATCCTGTAGCTCTGACAGGTCTCCAATGCCTGCAACTCTGCTGTGTCTACTCAATGTGAGACACCTCCACCATCCCAAATCTACACCTACACCATCCCATCTCTACACCTACTTCCACTTCAGTCTGAAACCACCACCAGACTCAGGAGACTTAAACCTGGATATCCACATTTTGTCCTTTTCTTATCACCTTTCCAAGCTCCAGAGAACAGCTCCAGCTGCCAGGGATCTGGAGTGTGGATCTGGTTTCCAATCTAAATCACCCTGGTGCTGACTGCAGCCTGCACCACACATCAGACCACAAACCACAGCTGCTAAACCCTCTTCCCAGCGTGGTCAGCACCACCCTTAGACAAGATTCACCCCTGTGTTCACAGGACACCACACAAGATGTGTGTGACAGTGGCAGGTGACCCATCTGGTGCTTGTGGTCATGTTGAGGAAAGTCTGCAGTGCTGGGCTACAGCTCAGGACACCTCAGAAGGCCCTTTCAGCAGAGGTCCCCACTGGGTGACATATCCTGTGCAGAAACTCAGTCTGTCCCTGCTCCCTGACCCTGTGTCCCAGATATACCTTGGCAGGAGCTCCAGGGACCCACTGACCAACCGTTTCTTTTC